TTTTTTTTTTTTTTTTTTTTTTTTTCCATTGCAAAGGAATGTGTGATTGGAGGGGTAGGGCAGCCGAACTCATCCCAGTAATTGATACCCAAAGTTTCATCTTGTGCTAAGCAAGCAACAGATGATAGACTTGTGCAATATAGGATTTAAAGGTAATTGTAGCATTTCCCTTTTACTTTGAAAGCCAACATTAGGGAGGGAAAGAAGGTAAAGTGAATCCAAATCCATTGTGTGGAAAACCAAAACAAATAGACGTTTATCTGAAGTATAATTCAAATAAGGAGCTCAGAGGAAGTGTTGGGAAAACTATATAAAATACACATAAGTCAATTATATCAATGTTCAAACCGAATGGAAATCTATTTCATGCAGGAGCCATTCAGCCCTTGCATGGAGCCCATCATGGGCCACCTTTCTGCATGGAAGATTTGCAATAGCCCCCTTTCCCACAAGCAAGACCACACACGTTTACAGATTTGGTAATAATTTATGCTAATTTTCCTCCATAAATCCACAATTCGCCTCAGTGGCAAGCAGGGCTGTTGAGAGAGGAAAAGGAGACAGAAAAGTGACAAATACAATATTGATTTTGAATCCTTGTGGCTGCAAGCAGGTGTGTAGCTTTGCAGCGGGGAGGAGTGGGAGAGGGGCTGTGGGAGGAAGCCAAGAAGTTTTCCAAGGATAAAAAAATCCACTCTTTGTGAGAGAATACTCACAACCTTGTTAATATTTACAAACCAGTTTGGAGAAAAGAGAAAGGAGGGGGGAAGTACCAGCTTCTTAGGGTTTCCTAGGCTGCGAAACACAATGCCAGTGTCTGAGCAAGCTTCCCCCGTTTTGGAAAGTCAACTGCAGGGTGTTGGTTGTAGCTGCGTTTCGGCTAAGCCTTGCACTTTCTTTCTTTTTTTTTTTTTTTTTTTTTTTAATGGTTCTGCTTCTTCTGCTTCTCGGGGGCTGAGGAGGAAGCCAAGATACTTGAGGTCTCCTGCTTTCCAGTGTGCTTGAATTCCCGATGCCGTTTCCCGAATAACTCCGGCCGCTTTGGGAACGGCTGGGCTTTGTCCCACCCCACATTCTTCACCAAATCTGGCACTTTGGCGTGAAACTACTTAGCGCCCTTTCAAAAGGATTTTGTTCTTTTCCCAATGAGCACTAAACAAACTCCCCCTGCCTGTCAAGGCCGCACTGAGAACTGTTCCCCAAACCTGTATTCCCGATAGCTCGGGATGTGCAGTGCGCTTTGTGCCCAGGGGGCCGGGCTGGGCCGCTCGGGACCCGGGGCTCCCTGCTCTGGGCCGCCCCTGCCCTGCCCTGCACCACCGCCCGCTCGCTCCTCGCTGCCGTCACCCTGCCGAGAGCCGGCTGCCCGTGTGCGCTGTCCTCGGCTGCCCCGTCGGGGATTTCAAGCGCCGCCAGCCCGAGCCGGCGCTTGGCCCCGCTGCGGCGCCGCCGGGGCGCACCCGAGGACGGAGCGTCCCCCGTGTCCCCAGCTCATCGCTGTCGGGCCTGGGCCGCGGGCGGCCGTTCGCGCTTTTCCAGCGCTCAGAGAGCCCGCGCTGGCACCACCCGAATTCCTCAACCCCGAGAGGAGGCTGTTGCTCCCGCTCGTGGCTCTTGGCGCTGCTCCGAAGCACCTGGCTCCCCGTCGGAGCCGGTTTCTCGGGAGCTCTTCTCCCTCTGCCGCCGGCGGGAAATCCACG